CTTGAAGGATGACTCTGATGCTGGGCATTCGGGAGATACTCCCAGAGTGTTGACTGATTTCTAGTTGGAATAAGGGGAGGTAAATGAGGAGGCCGTGGGGGGGAAGGATGGGGAAGCCAGATCTCGGAAAGAGGAGGAAAAGGAGGAAGGGAGATGGTGACAACAGAGAGGAAGGGGGAGGGGAGAGGAGAAGCCAGCTTCTGTCCCCTCTCCCTCCCCTGCAGGGGGCCATGCCCCCTTTCTCTGGCCTCTTCTCCTGGGCCTGCATTTCTGTGTGTCCAGGCTCATCTCTGTTCCAGGCTGTGCACTCTCTGACCCTGACGCCCAGCACAGGGCATCTACCACGGGCCCTCATAACCCTGTGGTGCTTGTGGCCTAGGCTCTCCAACAACCCGCTGACGGCAGCGGGGGTGGCCCTGCTGGTGGAGGGGCTGGCCGGAAACACCTCTCTGACACACCTGTCCCTGCTGCACACGGGCCTTGGGGACGAGGGCCTGGAGCTGCTGGCTGCCCAGCTGGACCGTAACCAACAGCTTCAGGAGCTGAACGTGGCCTACAATGGTGCTGGTGACACAGCAGCCCTGGCCCTGGCCACGGCTGCCCGGGAGCACCCTTCCCTGGAGCTACTGCAGTGAGTCTTGTCCCGGGTCCCATGCCCCACCCGAGCCGGCAGTCTTCCCCTGCCTCTCAGCCCTCCGTCCCTCACCTGCTGTGTTTCCCCTACAGTGGGGGTGCACCTAGGCCTGTCCCTTAGTCCTGGCTTCTGACTGACCCTTATGGACCTGCTTCGAGCCAACCCACCCCACTATGGTCCCTTATGCTGCCCTGATTCCCTAAGGCGATTTCTCCGAGAGTCCTGTTGGTCCCATTCCCACTGTCCCTGGTCCTGCTGAATTCTAGAGTCATCCCTGCCTTCTACAGGCCACCACCCTCCACCTCTGGCTTGTTGCAGATATCCCATCACATTTCCATAGCCAGGGGATGAGTTGGGAGACACCCGCCACCCACCCTAAACCACCGTCTTCCTCTCCTTCTGAGAGCCCTGCTGGATGGCATTTCTCTTCTCTCTCCTGCCAGCCTCTACTTCAATGAGCTGAGCTCGGAGGGCCGCCAGGTGCTGCGGGACTTGGGGGGCACCACGAAAGGTGCCCGGGTCGTGGTGTCGCTGACCGAGGGGACAGCAGTGTCCGAGTACTGGTCGGTGATCCTTTCTGAAGTCCAGAGGAACCTCAACAGCTGGGATCGGGGCCGGGTGCAGCGCCACCTTGAGCTCCTGCTGCGGGATCTGGAAGACAGCCGAGGAGCCACCCTTAACCCCTGGCGCAAGGCCCAGCTGCTGCGGGTGGAGGGCGAGGTCAGGGCTCTCCTGGGACAGCTGGGAGGCTCTGGAAGCTGAGACAGCAGCAGCCAGCACCTAGCTGGGTGACCCCTTCCCTGGGGGGCCTCTTCACTTGCACTATTCCTTCTAGAAAGATCCCTTTGGGGCTGGAGGCAAAGGAATGGGCTTGGCTATGCCAGTTGCCCTCCAGGGCTGTGTGTGACCACTGCTGCCAAGCCTAGAATTTCCCTGGAACATGCCTCCTCTCCCTTCAGCTAGAAGGAGCGAAGGAGGGGCATTTTGGTGGCCAGACTGCCTGATAGCACCACCACCAACCTCGACAAGCTCTCCTCTCAGGGCATCCTTGGTTGTGCCACAGGAGGCCCACTTCCTATGTCTGCCCAGCCAGGGGTGTTGCCATGTGGATGTGTTGGGGGACCTCC